GGTTGATGGTGCAACTGACAACAGTCGAGATGAAACCAGGCGAAAAAGGAATGGCGTATATCAGCCGCTGCCGCGAACTACGCGACAAACTCCTTCGATGCGGAGGATCAATCTCCGAAGAAGCCTTTGTCACAGTCGTCATCACTGGACTTGGTCCTCATTGGCGCTCCACTCGAGCTATTCTCCGAGCTCACGGGAAGATCTCCGAAGCAGCACTCTGCGCCGAAATTCACGCCGAGCAGCAAGACATGGACCTGCAAGAGGAGCGGCACAAGAAGAAAACGTCAGTTCCCAAATTTGCGTTCCACACTCAGCGACGCTACAACTACAACAACAGCCGACATCAACCAAAGCCTGTACCTCCGTTCTGCCATCTCTGCAAGACATCAGGACATCCGCGCACACACTGCCCGAATCGACAACAGTCATCACCACCACAGCGACAGCTTCGACCCTCAAGCAGCCAAGTCGCTTCAACACAAGCGAACCCCACCGCTCAAGTTCAAACGACCTCAACGGGACAATCTGCACAAGGAGCAAGAAACATCGTCAGTTGTATGGCAAGACTGAGCGACTCTTGTATCACCGAGTCACCGCCACACTACTCACCGGAAGAGCAACTCAACAACACTACACCTCGCCGCGAGTCACTTCAACCGAATCCGACGTACGCAGCTATCGCCCAAAGTGAGCCGTCCGGAAAAGATACCTGGTTCCTGGATAGTTGCTGTGGCCAGCACATGTGCTCTTCGGGACGTTACGTTCAGCGCGAGCACCAACTTCAACGCGAAGTCGTCATCACCGTCGCCAACAATCAGAACCTGCGCACACAACGACAAGGAATTGTACAACTTCAATTGTGAGAGACAAACGTGATTCTACAAATGTCAAAAGTTTTAATTGCGGAGGGACTCGGCTACAACTTACTGAGCGTCAGTCAGCTGATGGCGAAGGGTATCCATCTCGAAGCAGACAGCACTACACAGAAGTTCAAACTGTATAACGGCAGGGGAGGTCTCTATATCGGGAAGGCAGTGCTGAAAAACAACGTCTTCGTTATCGACTTCGTCCCGGACCTTGGCACCGCTGACAGCGACGCCATCGTGAACTTCACCTCTTGGACACATCCACCGGATCTTGACCCTGACTTCAGTCCTGGAGGCTTCTGGTACTCGGAAACCATCCCTGAAGCAGAAAGAACAAGAGCGTTAGCGACAATTCAACAATCGACAGCAGCAGAGACAACATCGGCAGCAGCAGAGACAACATCGGCAGCAGCAGAGACAACATCGGCAGCAGCAGAGACAACAACGGCAGCAGCAGAGACAACGGTAACAGCAGTGGCAACATCAACACCAATCGCTGGTCCTTCAATGGCACCGATCTTCGTCGATGACACACCACCCACACCCGCGCAGCAGCTAAACCCGGCACCACGAGAAGTTCATCGAAGCTCTAACTTCACCGCCAGCTTCTACTCCAACTCCGACATGTACCGACGCTCACCCGGACACCGCGCCAGCGAAGAAATCTGGCATGCACGGATGGGACACCCAAGTAACACAACGTTAAACAACACGATAAGAGCAGGAGTGCTCGACAAAGATTCGCTCCTACTACATGACGGGAGAGAACTCCAACGAGTAAAAGGAACGTGCTTCACATGCCCTGAAGCCGACTTACTGCATCAGTCGTTTGTCCCTCACCACAACCCGAGTGCACCAGCATACGCACCGCTTGAAAAGGTGTACAGCGACATCCTGTACAATCGCGTACCAGGACAAGGAGCTTACAACGACACCATCACCTTCATCGACGCCGCCACCCGATACGTTTGGCATCTAAACCTTCCAAGTCGCGACATGGCTTTCGAAGCCTTCGTCGCCTGGCTTCTAGCAGCAGAACGAGAGTCCGGAGTGAAACTAAAGAGTTTTCAGTCAGATGGAGGCAGAGAATACACCTCACAACGCTTCAAGGGACTACCTGGCAGAGAAGGGAATCAAGAGGCTCATCTCCCTTCCTTACGCCCATCAACAGCAGGGTGTAGCAGAAAGGATGAACAGGACCCTCCAGAACAACATGCGCAAGCTGCTACGTGGCATGCGGCTACCCAACCACCAGTGGCCCGAAGCAATGGACCTCGCCGTCATGCTGCACAACTTGCTCTCGTCATCATCGCTCCCGAACAACGCATCACCGCATCTGCTGTGGACAGGAAAACTGGGCAGCACAAAAATGTTACGAGTCTTCGGCTGCATGGTACAGTACCGACCCCCATCTGCACGAGCCGGCCGATTCTCCCAACGCGCACATTGGGGACTACACCTGGGCATCGAAAAGAATTACAACGCATGGAAGATTTTCGACGTCCACACCAAGGAAACAGTGGTAGCACGTGATGTGATTTTCTACGAATGACTCACTCTCGAATCCTACCTAGCCAACGTGGAAGAACAACGCGACCTCACCAGTGGACTTCGTGGAGACCGAGCCTTCGCTTCCACAGCGGACGAAGCTGACTGGGACGAGCAGAACGTGGACGCAGCCTCGGAGGAAGCCGGACCTCTCCCGTACTGCTCCGTCGATGTCCCAATGGATGACGAAAACCCTCGCGAAAGCGTCAACGCCGAAGTATTTTACCACTTCGCCGACAACGGTTACGTTACACCTGCAGAAGTCAACACCAACGAAGCAGAACGCATAGGGCCCAACTTCATACCTGACCCAGAAGCAGGTGACGAAGCAGCTTATCCCGCGGATACCACACTCCCCCGCTACACACAGAGTGGCCTCCAGATACTTGGCCTCGTCACCGCGGTCCACGGCACTGTGATTCCTAAGGAGCCTGCGACAGTTTAGCAGGCTCTGGGGGGGGAGCACAGGGAAAAGTGGCGCGAAGCCATGGACAGGGAATTGAAGGCACTAGAGGAGCGCAACACCTGGAAAGTTGTTCCTATCGGAGTGGCACGAAACAAGAGTATACTCACCGGGAAGTGGGTCTTCCAAGTGAAAACAAAAGCAGACGGCACCATCGACAAATTCAAAGCACGCTGGGTTGTACGTGGCTTCGACCAGGAACACGGACGCGACTTCACCGAGACATTCGCCCCGGTCAGCCGACACACCTCACTTCGAATCCTTCTCGCGATCGCCACCATGAAGAAAAAGAAGCTGCGGTAAATCGACGTCGCGAATGCATTTCTCTACGCACCTGTTGACGCTGAGATCTTCGTCGAGCTCCCGCACGGCTCCAACGGAGAACCTAATCAAGTCTGTCAACTACTGAAGTCGCTCTACGGCATCAATCAAGCTCCGAGGCTGTGGCAACAGTACCTGCACGCAAGACTTATCCGCATAGGATTTCGCCAGCTACCTCACGACCAGGGAATGTACCGGCTGACAAAAGGCACCGACTACATCCTACTAATCGTCTACGTAGACGATCTGCTCTACATCGGGTCGACCGACGGCGTCACTACTTGGTTTGAAGGGGAGCTGCAGAAAGACCTCACGCTCACAGTCTCGTCCACCGTCACACAATACCTCGGCCTCAACATTCAGGAAGAAGAAAACGCAATCTACCTCAGCGCCGCAAAATACGCCGACACCATCGCCAAACGCTTCGCACTCACGCCGACCGCCATCTCCACGCCATACCGCTACACGGCAGGAAACCACAAGGAAGGCTCCGCTCTACTCAAGCCCGCCGGCATACGCGACTACCAGAGGAAGCTGGGATGCCTCCTCTTCGCAGCGGTCACCTGCCGCCCGGACCTATCGTACTCTGCAAGCCAGCTCGCCACCTACCTCAAGAAACCTGAAGCGGAACATCTGGCGGAGCTCGACCGCGCTCTTCACTACCTCGTCAGCACCCCAACAATCGGCCTGACCTACCATAAAAACACGACTACAGCGCCTAAACTAATCGGCTACGTCGACGCCGATCACGCCGGTGACTCCGACAACAGACGCTCGCGCACCGGCTACATCTATCGCCTCGAGCCTATCGGACCTATCTCTTGGCAGTCGAGCAAGCAGGAATTAATCGCTCTCTCTTCAGCTGAAGCAGAATATATCGCACTCTGCTCAGCCACCAAGGAAGGACTGTACCTTTGCGAACTCCTGGAGGAAGCCAAGCTAGCCCAGTTACCAAACTTTACCCTGTTCTGCGACAACCAGTCGGCCATTCGCATAGCCAACAAGAGCGGCTTCGCGAACAGGACGAAACACATCGCCATGCGATACTTCTTCGTGAAGGACGAGATCGAGAAAGGAAGACTCGAGCTGTCATACTGCCCCACATCCGAGATGGCAGCTTATTACTTGACCAAGAAGCTCGGAAAGCAGAAGTTCGAGTACTGCATGCTGCTGACTGGACAGTCACCAACTGCGACACTCCAGAAGCGAAGGGGAGTGTTGGAAACAATTAACTCTAAGCGCCTCTGTCGTGTCGAAACACCAAGTCAGAAGCGAAGCGAAGTATATCGAAGCACCAGCGAGTCAACCCTCGGAGGTTGAGCGGTTGCTAGAGGTTACGCGAAAGTCAAAGGTCAGCGACCTTTGACCTGACAAGTACCGTACAGCGCGACAGCAAGGACACACAACTGACTCGTTACAGAGCAGTTGCCCGAGTCGTCACTGTATCGAACCGCAAAAGCAACAGTAAAGTAGTTGCAACCGTATCTCTTCGTATTCCTTGTACTCTTATATAATCTTGTATCGCTTTGCTTTAATCAATTTACTTTGCCCTCACATACCAGCGCAAGGTGATTCAACTACTCCATTAAACGCTTCCGCTAATTACAACAAGTCCTACCCAGAGTTCAGCCCTGCAAAGATCCTAAGGGCTTTCTCAGCCCAACACAGCCTCCCCTCTAGCTGCATGCCATTCACACTGTTCCAACATGTTATCCTCCCTGTGCCACTACCCCCTGTACTGTGGCACTGTTATCCGCCTCACACTGCTGCTATCTGTGCTGCGCCGCTTGACTCTGTGCGGCTCACAGCAGGCGAGTCTCCACACCCTCCTCTGCCAGATGGGTCTTCACCGACTCTATTGTCACCTGTGGGAGACACACGTGCACATGCAGAGACACAGACAAATGGGCACACAGTCACACAGGCACACGTGCACACAAACGGACAACCCCACAGACGGACACGTGCAAGCATGCACACAAACGCAAGGACGCGTACACACACACATATTGGAAGCGGGTTGGGCGCATGGACAGAGAATCAAGAGCACACGCAGCGCACTCCCAGGATGGCCAGCCCATCCCTAAGGAAAATGCAGCACTACACATGTACCACACGCGACCCACCCTCACCTCGTTGCGGTGAAAGATGCCGGCAGCCACAGCAGCAGAGGCGCCTTGACAGTGCTAGCGCTGACACACCTACACAGTGCCCTTTCAGTTGAAACCGTCCAATAAACCCCCTTCCTCCGGTTGACCGTGCATCAGCTAAGCTCCCTTGAATCCCCTCACCTCGTTGCGGTGGAAGATGCCGGCAGCCAGCGCCGCGGAGGCGCCAGTGTGCGCAAAGACCTGGGAGAAGTGCTCTGGGATGCCCGCCCCGCTGCTGGCGATGACGGGGATGCTCACAGCAGAGGAGACCAACTCCACCAGATCCAAGTCGAATCCCTGGCCCTGGCCTGTGATGTGACACGGAGAAGCAAGGGACGGGGGCAGCCAAGGCGCCGGTGTGAGCAAAGACCTGCGAGAAGTGCTCTGGGATGGCCGCCCCGCTGCTGCTCTGCTGGCGATCACAGGGATGCTCACTGCTGAGGACAGCAGCCCCACCAGGTCCAAGTCGAATCCCTGGGCCTGACCTGACCTGCGGGAGGGGAGGGGAAGAGAAGGGGGGAGGGGGAAAAGAAGAGGGGAGGGGCTGAGAAGGAATTGCATGGAGGGTATGAGTTGAAGTCCAGCTGCTGGCGATCACAGGGATGCTCACTGCTGAGGACAGCAGCCCCACCAGGTCGAGATCAAAGGCACTGCCTGGGTCACACACATGAACTCCCTATGCCTTACCATCATCATCCCAGCTGCTCCACCACCTGCGCCGGCCACATGAACACCCTACCTAGCCCTCCTCAGTATGGGTATGTCCGTCACGCGTCATCATCCCATCCCATGGCACTCACCATCGCAGTCGATGCAGTTGAGCAGAATCTCCCCCGCCCCCAGCTGCTCCACAGCCTGGGCCAGCTCGAACGCCCCTATGGGCCGCCCCTCCCTGCCTCCGCTCACCTGCAGCAGCATAGGTTACAATGGTCAGAGGGGAAGACAGCACGGTGAGAATCACCCGGTCCCACAGTCACATGGCTATCACATGCGCGGCCTTGCTATACATGCACCCACACAGACAATGCATAGCACCAGTGCAAGCTTACAGACACACACGCACGTGTGCACCCGCTTGCATGTGCACGCACGCGCGCGCGCGAGCACACAAACCCACACGTGACAGCATCACTCCTCCCCTCTCACCGTGCACTGATACCATGCGTACTCCTCCCCGTTGGGGCCTGCGTCAGGGGAAAGGAAAGACAGGAGGCCACAAGGCATAAGCCACAGGAGGAGGAAGGTTGAGTGGCAAGGTGAGCATAAGAGAGATGAGATACTCTGTGAGAAGAAGAGAGTCGTGGGGCTCAGATGATACACCACATGCAGAGCAGCAAGCCCGTTTTAACCAAAGACTTGTGGCAAACAAGGAGCAGAGGGAGCAGAGCGGGCATGCAGTGCACCTGGCGTTGATGCCTTGACGCATTTGAAAGGCACGTCGTCTGGCGAGGCCACGTACACCCTCTTGGGATCTATGCTCACCACCACCGCCTGTTGGGATGGCAGAGAGGCAGCGAGGGGGAGAGGGGGAGAGGCAGAGAGGCAGAGAGGCCAAGAGAAGACATGGCACCCAGGTGAGGGGAGAGGGAGAGGGGAGAGGGAGAAGATAGCATGAGTGCAGTGGGGAAGAAAAAGGGAGAGAAATCCTCCACGCTAAAGGACAAGTGATGGAAACGGGCCATGCAGATTGACTTTGACCTGCAGATTGACTTTGACCTGCAGATAACTTCTGAGCATGCATCTGGATTGATAGGCATTGTGGCATCACCTGGTTGCCTCACAGCCCTCACCTGGTTGCCTCACAGCCCTCACCTGGTTGCCTCACAGCCCTCACCTGGTTGCCTCACAGCCCTCACCTGGTTGCCTCACTGCCCTCACCTGGTTGCCATACACGTAGGAGATCTGCTCTATCCCCGTCTTGCCTGTCTTCTCCTGCACTTGCCGAAACGCACACAGTGAGAGCAACACGGGCAGTGAGGAATGCACACAGGGTTGGGTGGAGGTGGATGGAAGAGCCCGCGGCAGGCATGCAGGAGCGGCAGGCATGCAGGAGCGGCAGGCATGCAGGAGCGGCAGGCATGCAGGAGCGGCAGGCATGCAGGAGTGGCAGGCATGCAGGAGTGGCAGGCATGCAGGAGTGGCAGGCATGCAGGAGTGGCAGGCATGCAGGAGCGGCAGGCATGCAGGAGTGGCAGGCATGCAGGAGCGGCAGGCATGCAGGAGCGGCAGGCATGCAGGAGTGGCAGGCATGCAGGAGTGGCAGGCATGCAGGAGCGGCAGGCATGCAGGAGCGGCAGGCATGCAGGAGCGGCAGGCATGCAGGAGCGGCAGGCATGCAGGAGCGGCAGGCATGCAGGAGCGGCAGGCATGCAGGAGCGGCAGGCATGCAGGAGTGGCAGGCATGCAGGAGCGGCAGGCATGCAGGAGCGGCAGGCATGCAGGAGCGGCAGGCATGAAGGAGCGGCAGGCATGCAGGAGCGGCAGGCATGCAGGAGCGGCAGGCATGCAGGAGCGGCAGGCATGCAGGAGCGGCAGGCATGCAGGAGCGGCAGGCATGCAGGAGCGGCAGGCATGCAGGAGCGGCAGGCATGCAGGAGCGGCAGGCATGCAGGAGCGGCAGGCATGCAGGAGTGGCAGGCATGCAGGAGTGGCAGGCATGCAGGAGCGGCAGGCATGCAGGAGCGGCAGGCATGCAGGAGCGGCAGGCATGCAGGAGCGGCAGGCATGCAGGAGCGGCAGGCATGCAGGAGCGGCAGGCATGCAGGAGCGGCAGGCATGCAGGAGCGGCAGGCATGCAGGAGCGGCAGGCATGCAGGAGGGGCAGGCATGCAGGAGCGGCAGGCATGCAGGAGTGGCAGGCATGCAGGAGCGGCAGGCATGCAGGAGCGGCAGGCATGCAGGAGTGGCAGGCATGCAGGAGCGGCAGGCATGCAGGAGCGGCAGGCATGCAGGAGCGGCAGGCATGCAGGAGCGGCAGGCATGCAGGAGCGGCAGGCATGCAGGAGCGGCAGGCATGCAGGAGCGGCAGGCATGCAGGAGCGGCAGGCATGCAGGAGCGGCAGGCATGCAGGAGCGGCAGGCATGCAGGAGCGGCAGGCATGCAGGAGCGGCAGGCATGCAGGAGCGGCAGGCATGCAGGAGCGGCAGGCATGCAGGAGCGGCAGGCATGCAGGAGCGGCAGGCATGCAGGAGTGGCAGGCATGCAGGAGCGGCAGGCATGCAGGAGCGGCAGGCATGCAGGAGCGGCAGGCATGAAGGAGCGGCAGGCATGCAGGAGCGGCAGGCATGCAGGAGCGGCAGGCATGCAGGAGCGGCAGGCATGCAGGAGCGGCAGGCATGCAGGAGCGGCAGGCATGCAGGAGCGGCAGGCATGCAGGAGCGGCAGGCATGCAGGAGCGGCAGGCATGCAGGAGCGGCAGGCATGCAGGAGTGGCAGGCATGCAGGAGCGGCAGGCATGCAGGAGCGGCAGGCATGCAGGAGCGGCAGGCATGCAGGAGCGGCAGGCATGCAGGAGCGGTAGGCATGCAGGAGCGGCAGGCATGCAGGAGCGGCAGGCATGCAGGAGCGGCAGGCATGCAGGAGTGGCAGGCATGCAGGAGCGGCAGGCATGCAGGAGCGGCAGGCATGCAGGAGCGGCAGGCATGCAGGAGCGGCAGGCATGCAGGAGCGGCAGGCATGCAGGAGTGGCAGGCATGCAGGAGCGGCAGGCATGCAGGAGTGGCAGGCATGCAGGAGCGGCAGGCATGCAGGAGCGGCAGGCATGCAGGAGCGGCAGGCATGCAGGAGTGGCAGGCATGCAGGAGCGGCAGGCATGCAGGAGCGGCAGGCATGCAGGAGCGGCAGGCATGCAGGAGCGGCAGGCATGCAGGAGCGGTAGGCATGCAGGAGCGGCAGGCATGCAGGAGTGGCAGGCATGCAGGAGCGGCAGGCATGCAGGAGCGGCACGCATGCAGGAGCGGCAGGCATGCAGGAGCGGCAGGCATGCAGGAGCGGCAGGCATGCAGGAGTGGCAGGCATGCAGGAGCGGCAGGCATGCAGGAGCGGCAGGCATGCAGGAGTGGCAGGCATGCAGGAGCGGCAGGCATGCAGGAGCGGCAGGCATGCAGGAGTGGCAGGCATGCAGGAGCGGCAGGCATGCAGGAGTGGCAGGCATGCAGGAGTGGCAGGCATGCAGGAGTGGCAGGCATGCAGGAGTGGCTGGCATGCAGGAGCGGCAGGCATGCAGGAGTGGCAGGCATGCAGGAGTGGCTGGCATGCAGGAGCGGCAGGCATGCAGGAGTGGCAGGCATGCAGGAGCGGCAGGCATGCAGGAGTGGCAGGCATGCAGGAGTGGCAGGCATGCAGGAGTGGGCACAGTGAAGGACGGGGCAGAAGACATGATTGCTTTTGAAGGAAGTGATGAAGGGGTGTGGGCAGACGGAAGTGCAGCCGGGGGGGAAGGTATGGAGACAGCCAGCAAGCAGGCAAGGAGCAGCAGTGATGCACCACTCACGCAACCTTCCTGGCGAGCAAGCAAGGCGGGCAGCAGTCACGCCAGTAACGAGCAGGGAGGGCGGCACGAGTGGCTCACCCCCGTGGCGAGCAGAGCAGCACCTCTGCAGGCAGCACCTCTGCAGGCAGCACCTCTGCAGGCAGCACCTCTGCAGGCAGCACCGCCTCACTGCCGAGTGACACCTTGCCCGCCCCCACTCATGTGGGGCTGCACCGCAGGCATGCTGGCATGGCAAGAAAGGAGCAAGAAGGGCAACAAGTGCGAGTGACTCACCCCCGAGGCAAGCAGCTCCTCCGCTGCAAACACCGCCTCACTGCCGATGGACACCTTGTCCGCCCCTGACCGGAAATACTCCGCCGCCACCTCCAACGCTGAGTACGGCCTGCGAGGACAGGTGGGAAGAGGGGGCGGGAGTGCAGGGGGAGAGGGTGGCACGGAGTGTGTGAAGGCGCGCGGACCTTGTCCGCCCCCAACCAGTATCCAGCACTCAATCAACACCTTGTTGCTGCTGCCAGACTGAGAACACCACTCCACACCGCCCCACCTGCCACCGCTCCACTCCTCGCCAGCCATGGCCCCACCGCCCACCCACAGGCACAACCCCACGACCCAAGTGCCATCCCACTGCCCACCTGCCATGAGCAGCACCACCACGAGCATCAGTTCCCCACCTGTCCCACGGCCCACCTGCCATTGCCGTCTGTGAAGTCTCTGATGCCGCCCCCCACCGTGAGCGGCACAAACACCCTCTCTGATGCGCGCTTCATCACCTGTGGAGGGTTGCAGGGGGAGGTGGGGGAGATGAAGGATGGGGAGAACATGGGAAAGGGGAGGAGGTGAAGTCTCTGATGCCGCCTCCCACTGTGAGCGGCACAAACACCCTCTCTGACGCCCGCTTCATCACCTGGGGTGGCGTGGGAGAGGAGGGAGGATGGGAGGAGAAGGAAGGGGGGAGAGCATGAAATGGAGAGAGCATGTGGGGAGCATGGGCGATGGGGGCGAAGGAAAGAGAGAAGAGGGGAAGTGAGAAGAGGGGAAGTGAGAAGAGGGGAAGGAGAGGATAGGAGACGTAAGGAATGGAAGAAATGGAAGAGGGGGAAGAGAAGATAAAAAGAAAGCTGCTGGGTGGGACATGACAGCAAGGAAAGGCGTTGCCACAGAGTGAGGTGAGGATGGAGGAGGGTGAAGACAGGTGTGAGATTTCTTGACAGGAAATGGCGAGACAATGGAATGGCGAAACGAGGGAAATGTGAAACAAGGTTTTTCTATTGCTTGTTTTTGGTGGACTGCTTGCAGGAAGACTTTGGGCATGGGCGAATCGTCCCGCACACACACACACAGCTACTATTGGCCCCCCTAACAGTCACCTCTAGTATGGGCAGGTCGCACCCACACAGCTATTAACATCCCATCCCTAACCTCCAGCACTGGTGAATCAAGGCAGATCAGCCCCCTGACAGTCAACTGGAGCACTGGTGAATTGCCCCCCACAAACACAGCAACTAGCTCCCCCCTATCACTTGGCGGGTGGGCGAGTCCCCCTATCACCTCGAGCATGGGCAGATCCCCCAGGGGGAAGTCCCTGAAGCCCGTGATGTTGAGAAACGCCACCTCGTCCGCGCCCTCCTTGAAATACCGTGCTGCCAGCTCCACTGGCTTGCCCAGGTTGCGCACCTGGTTGGGTTGGGTGGGGTGCATGCGGGGGTGGGAGGATGGGAGGTGCACGCAGGCAGGGGTGTGTTGAGGGGCTGCGAGCAGCACACCCCAGCCTCGTCCGCGCCCTCCCTGAAGTAGCGCGCCGCCAGCTCCACTGGCTTGCCCAGGTTGCGCACCTGGTGGCAGGGACAGCAGTGGTGGGGAGACGGGTTGGGGTGTGTGGGGGGAGGGTACAAGAGCGAGGGAGTAAGGGACTGCAGGGGGCTGGGCTTGTCCGCCCCCACCTTGAGAAGGTTTTCATTCATACTGGCCGCCCTTGGTCACTCATCACCCCTACTGGCCGCCCTTGGTCACTCATCACCCCTACTGGCCGCCCTTGGTCACTCATCACCCCTACTGGCCGCCCTTGGTCACTCATCACCCCTAGTCTACTGGTGACCACGACAGACCAGTGCGACATGCCATCATCTGCTGCTTCACTACCCTCGCCTTTCCTCATCACCCTCCCTTTACTCTCCCTCCCTCTTACCTCCCGCTCGTCAACCTACACTCGTACGCTGTACTGGTCGCCCCCTTGGTCATCACCAGCTGCCATCAGCACGCACACAAGGCCATGCTACCACCTTCCACCATCCCCACAACAGCACCCTACTCGCGCCCATTTTTTCACCTCCCTCTCATCGCCCTGCTCCCGCACGTCGTACTGGTCGCCCTTGGTGACCACCAGGTCCCCATGAGCACACACACGACCCACTGCATAAGCACCCTCGCCCCATCCATCACCTTCCCCCAATTCGTCCCCCTCACCTCCCTCTCATCGCCCTGCTCCCGCACGTCATACTGGTCGCCCTTGGTAACCACCAGGTCCCCCCGGTCGTTAGCGCGCACATCCAAGCACGCGATCACGCGCTTCGCCAGCTGTGTTGCTCGAGGGCCCCTCAGGGGCTTGCTGCATGCTTCCTCCACCTCCTGGTGGGGTTGGGAGGGGTGAGGTGGAGTGCGGTGAGGAGGAGTGCGGCAAGGTGTTGGTCCCCCTTGGTGACCAGCAGCACCAGGTCCCCCCGGTCATTGGCTTGGTGCGCACATCCAATCCAAACACACAATCACGCACTTGGCTAGCTGCGTGGCTCGAGGGCCCCTCAGTGGCTGGCTGCATGCTTCCTCTACCTCCTGGTGGGGGTGGAAGGGGTGGGATGCGGTGGGGTGGAGTAGGGTGTGATGCAAGGGAATATGGCATGCGGCAAGGTGCTGTAGGCCCTTGGTGACCAAGAGGTCCCCCCAGTGACTTGGACATTGGCGCGCGAATTCAACGCACAACCACGCGCTTCGCCAGCTGGGTTGCGCGAGGGCCCCTCAGGGCCTTGCTGCATGCGTCTACCCCCTCCTGGTCTGGTGTGACAACACGTGGTGTGAGAGTGAGGTGGAATGGGGTGTCATACAACACGTGAACGAACGGAACGTGGCATGGAACACAAGACGGCACCGAATATGTGAAATAACTTAGCATTAAACATGTGATGGCAACACAAGGCATGCCTTGTGTTGCCCTCCAGTGGCCTGCTTTGCTGCGCTGCACGCCACCTCCAACCCCCCAGATGAGGTGGAGGGAGGGGGAGAGGTGGCGTGGTGTGTGCTGCAGATGAATGTGGCGTGCTGCAGATGAATGTGGCGTGCTGCCCGTGCCAGGCCATGCTGTGCTCACATCAACTCAGCCCATGTGCAAACCAATTTGACGATACAAGTGCAATGAGGCACATCAAGGCCCAAGGAGTAAGTAGGAGGAGAAAAATGATTGAAGTAGAGACAGAGTGCCAGCTTAGCGAGGAGCGATTGAATTCCACCAGCGCAAGCAATGAGAGAGGGCAGGGAGTGCAGGGAGGGCGGGGAGGGCAGAGCGAGCAGGGAGGGCAATGAGGAGAGTGAGGGTGGAGAGAGGGTGGAGAGAGGGTGGAGAGAGGGTGGAGAGAGGGTGGAGAGAGGGTGGAGAGAGGGTGGAGAGAGGGTACCCACGTTGGCCTGCTGGCTCCTGTTGGGGCCGAGGAAGCGACGCAGGATGTCCAAGCCCACCACTGGCGGGGGTATGGGGGAACAGGATGAGGGGAAGGGGATGAGGGGAAAGGGATGAGGGGAAGGGGATGAGGGGAAGGGGATGAGGGGAAGGGGATGAGGGGAAGGGGATGAGGGGAAGGGGATGAGGGGAAGGGGATGAGGGGAAGGGGATGAGGGGAAGGGGATGAGGGGAAGGGGATGAGGGGAAGGGGATGAGGGGCGTGTCAGGAAGGGACATAGGCAGCAGGGAGGGCGCATGCACGCACACAGGGCGTGGCTAGGGGTATGAGTAGTGTGTAAGCATAGGGTTGGTTCTTGGGATGAGAGATGTGGGCGGGTTAGGAGGCGCAAGAATGCGTGCGGAATGCAGCAGGGAGAACTATGCCCTGCCAACTGCAATCACCGTACTTCCACTACTCCCCACCCCTGCCTTGACTGCCTCACCCCTCCCCACATCTCACCGCCTGACTTCCCAGGGACGAAATGCACAGCTTGCACGTTGCCCTTTCTCACCCTCTCACTCACTGCACGTTGCCCTTTCTCACCCTCTCACTCACTGCACGTTGCCCTTTCACACCCTCTCACTCACTGCACGTTGCCCTTTCTCACCCTCTCACTCACTGCACGTTGCCCTTTCTCACCCTCTCACTCACTGCACGTTGCCCTTTCACACCCTCTCACTCACTGCACGTTGCCCTTTCTCACCCTCTCACTCACTGCACGTTGCCCTTTCTCACCCTCTCACTCACTGCACGCACGTTGCCCGGCACTCTGCACGCCCCTCTTCCCACCGTCCACGCCCCGCACCACTCACCGCCCGACTTCTCTGGGTGGAATTGCACGGCCTGCACGTTGCCCTTCCTCACTGCCGCCACGTACGGCTCGCCATAGTTGGCCGTCGCCAGCACCCACTCGCTGTTGTCAGGGGTCTGGGGGGGGGGTAAGCCATGTGAGAGGGGGATGGGAGAGGGGGCGGAGGGGGGGATACATGTACAGTGAGGTGAGTGCCATGACCGCCCGCCCGTACGGCTTGTCTCTGCTGTCGCCAGCACCCAATCGCTGTTCTCAGGGATCTGGGGGGAAGGGAGTGGAGAGGGGTGCGACGGGGTTTATGGCGGTGAGGGGGAGGGGAGGGAGGGAGTGGAACCCAACTGCCTTAGGCTCACTAGGCTGGGGTGACGCGCAGCTTTCATGTGGGGAAAGCAGGGAGGGAGTCAACTTTGGGCATTCTCACAAGTGACACGACAAGCGTGCGCTAGGCGGAGCTGAAACACTGCCCGCATGTTGGGAGAGAGGATGCTTAGCGTAGCAAGCCCTTAGCGTAGCGAGCCCTTAGCCTGCCCTGCACTACACTGCAGTGCAGTGCGACCCTAAATACCCCTCCTAGACAGCACAGCACAGCACAGCACAGCACAGCACAGCACAGCACAGCACAGCACAGCACAGCACAGCACAGCACAGCACAGCACAGGACAGTCCCTGGCTGGCGGGGCCCTCGGTCGGGCGCACCTGAGGAGTTTCTAGGCTACGCTGCAGCGCACCTGAGTGGCTCGGTACGAGTGGCGCACCTGAGTGGCTCGGTACGAGTGCACAAAGTACACGTGGCGCCCATTCACGCCATCCAGAATGGACGGCTCGGATTGCACGATCTGCAGCCCGTTCCACCCGATCTGCGGCACAGTGAGCCCCTTGGATGCATCGAATCGGGACACAGTGCCTGGGATGATGCCCAATCCCTCCACTGTAAGGGAGGAGGAGGAGAGGAGGAGAGGGGAAGGGGGGAGACGGGGAGAGGAGAGGGTTAAGGCGCTTGGATGCATCGAATCGGGACACAGTGCTGTGCTGGGGATGATGGTCAGTCGTTCCACGGGAGAAGGGAAGGAGTGCACCAGGTAGGCGAGGAAGGGGAGAGAGAGGAGGGTAGGGGAAGGGGGACCCTTGAGAAACGGGGCCGGAGAGGTGGTGAGTGGGAGAAGGGAAAAGGGGAGGAGGCGAGGAGGAGGAGGAGGAGGAGGAGGAGGAGGAGGAGGAGGAGGAGGAGGAGGAGGAGGAGGAGGAGGAGGGGAGGAGGCGAGGAGGGGAGAGGGCGAGGAAGGGGAGAAGGGGGGTGAGTGAGTGCAGGCGGTGAGGTGAGGTGAGGGGTGCAGAATGATATAGCACAAGGGGCATGGCAGGGGTGGCATGGCAGGGGTGGCATGGCAGGGGTGGCATGGCAGGGGTGGCATGGCAGGGGTGGCATGGCAGGGGTGGCATGGCAGGGGTGGCATGGCAGGGGTGGCATGGCAGGGGTGGCATGGCAGGGGTGGCATGGCAGGGGTGGCATGGCAGGGGTGGCATGGCAGGGGTGGCATGGCAGGGGTGGCATGGCAGGGGTGGCATGGCAGGGGTGGCATGGCAGGGGTGGCATGGCAGGGGTGGCATGGCAGGGGTGGCATGGCAGGGGTGGCATGGCAGGGGTGGCATGGCAGGGGTGGCATGGGCATAGCAGGAACGGGGCATGGGCTACCTTACCTACCTTACCTACCTTACCTACCTTACCTACCTTACCTACCTTACCTACCTTACCTACCTTACCTACCTTACCTACCTTACCTACCTTACCTACCTTACCTACCTTACCTACCTTACCTACCTTACCTACCTTACCTACCTTACCTACCTTACCTACCTTACCTACCTTACCTACCTTACCTACCTTACCTACCTTACCTACCTTACCTACCTTACCTACCTTACCTACCTACCTACCTTACCCCCCATGCCCTCTCACTCACCATCGCCAAACTCCTGGCTGCCGTCGAAGAGCAGCTGCAGGCCCAGGCAAATGCCCAGGAAGGGGCGGTCCAACGCCACGTACTGGCGGATGGCGTCTGCCAGGCTGGCATGTGTAGGGATAGAGAGCAGGGAGAAGGGAGTGTCATAGAGGGGTGTAGAGGAGGTGGGGAAGGGGATGGGCTGGGCAGCCCAGGCAGATGCCGAGGAAGGGGCGGTCCAACGCCACGTACTGGCGGATGGCGTGGCGTCTGCCAGCCATGGGCTGTACTGGCGGATGACATGGCATGGGCCAACCCCCATGCCATGTCATCAATCCAAACCCATGCCATGTCATCACCCCACCCCCATGTCATCACCCCACCCCCATGTCATCACCCCACCCCCACGCCATCACTCCCCTTACCCTCTCTCATTCAGCTGAGCACTTCCACGGCGGCCCTGAACGCGCCCACGCCTGCCCAGTTTCCCCTTCATGCATGGCTGAAGTAACCTGTAAGAGACCCATCACCCCTTACCCTGTAAGAGACCCATCACCCAGAGACCCATCACCCCTTACCCTGTAAGAGACCCATCACGCCTTACCCTGTAAGAGACCCATCACCCCTTACCCTCTCTCGTTCAGCACGTCCATGGCCGCCCTGAACGCGCCCACGCCCGGGAAGATGAGCTTCTTGGCTGCCAGGATGTCCTCTGGCTCGCTCACCTGGTGGAGGGGAGGGGGTAGGAAGGGGGAGAAGAGAAGGGAATGGGAAGATGCGCTTCTTGGCTGCCAGGATGTCCTCTGGCTCGCTCACCTGGTGGAGGGGAGGGGGTAGGAAGGCGGAGAAGGTGGGGGATGAGAGGGGTGAGCGGACGGTGAAGGAGGGGAATGGGAAGATGAGCTTCTTGGCTGCCAGGATGTCCTCTGGCTCGCTCACCTGGGGGGGAGAGGGTGGGGGGGGAGGGGGAGAGAGGGAAGGGGGCAGGCGGGGGAGCGGAGGGTGGGGAAAGGATGGAGGAAGAGGGGGGGCATGAGCTTCTTCGCTGTTAGCATGTCCTCTGGCTCGCTCACCTGGGAGGAGGGGGGGAGGGGGGAAGGAGGGGGGAGGGAAGGGAACAGGCGTATGTAGGGGGTAGGGGATGTGAGAGGGGAAAAGACGAAGGGGATGGGTGGGTGGGAAAAGGATGGAGGATGGGAAGAGGGGATGGGAAGAGGAGATGGGAAGAGGAGATGGGAAGAGGAGATGGGAAGAGGAGATGGGAAGAGGGGATGGGAAGAGGAGATCGACTTCTATTGCACGGATGCCCTCTGGCTCGCTCACCTGGGGGGAGGGAACGGGGGAGGAAGGGGGAAAGAGGCGAGTGGGAGCGGAGGGGTGAGAAGGGGGACAAGTGGGGGAGAAACGGATGGGTGGGCGGAAGGAGGGTGGAACGAGGGTGGAAAGAGGGTGGAAGGAGGGTGGAAGGAGGGTGGAAAGAGGGTGGAAGGAGGGTGGAAGGAGGGTGGAAAGAGGGTGGAAGGAGGGTGGAAGGAGGGTGGAAAGAGGGTGGAAGGAGGGTGGAAGGAGGGTGGAAAGAGGGTGGAAGGAGGGTGGAAGGAGGGTGGAAAGAGGGTGGAAGGAGGTGAGGAAAAGCTGAGCTTCCTTGTCACTAAGATATATTCCGGCTCGTTCGGCTGGGGGGGAGAGGGGGGATTCGCGGGGGGAGGCGGGGAAGGTAGGCGGGGGAAAAAGCGGGAGAATGGGTGGGTGAGGGGAGGCGGAGGTATGGGGGAGGTGAGGGATCATGCGCGGGAATGAGACGGTCGGTTTAGTCGGTCAGAGCTGCCAGAATGAGTGAATTTGGGCCCACCGTACGGCCGTCATCCCACTCGCAGAAACACAAGACCCCAAGAGTAAAACCCTCTGCACGTAAGGATATTCCACCCTCGCCACTCACGTCGTTGATCTCGTAACCCAACAGGCGAATGGCGTTTCGCACGCTTCGCACGTTTCCCGCGCCGTAGTCCAGCAGGGTTACCACATTGTCGCCGTCGCCACTCGAATCGCCCGCCGCTGCTGCTGTCTCTCAGCCAATCAGGCGGGGCAAACAACCAAGAACGCAAGGGAGATCGAGGCCGGTATAAGGCAGGGAGGAGGCGGAAGGAAAGACGAAAACAGTGACAAACACGGCGGAAAGAAGCGACCGAAGCGGATGAACAGCCGTTCACTTCTATTCCTGCCATACTCTCGTCCAAGCTCACAGCGCACATCCCTCGAGCGCCTAACCATCCGCGCGCGACGCGCTAAGCCGCACAACGGTCACGGATCCGTTCGCTCAAATCCGTACCTCTAACGGCCAGCGACTTGCGCTGCCGCGCCGCTATCCGGCCGTGAGCGGCTGCAGAAAAGCGACTAGGGGAAATGAAGGCGGGGGATGCTAGCGGAGAGGACGCGGGGACGGCCACCCGCGTTACGCGCGCAGGCTGCGCGAGGAGGCCCGCCATGGCTGGCACTACGATCGCGCTGCGTCGCCGCGGAAGCGGAACGGGCGGAAGCGGAACGCTGGACGCGGAACGCGCGGAAGCCCAGCAGTTCTCGAGTAAGCGCGGATCGCACGCAGCTGATTCGTGCGGGAGGCTCCTGGGCGACTAATAATGGGATCGGTGCAGTCACGTCCCGACTAGTAATCAGCACTAAAACGGAGTGCTGATTCTGATGCTGGCCGAATGCAAGCTGATGTCGTGCTGTACCTACGCTCTACTTCGATGTTGCCGACAGTAGTGACGCTGGCCAATCAGCGGCGGCGGAAACACCAACGCGGGTGTGCCGCATGGCACAGGGTTTTACGGATTTACTGTAAAATCATCAGCATTCTGCATCAAATTTTGTTTCCAGTTATAACTCCAGATAAAGACATGCTACAAAACCAAAATTGTCTTATCACGCTTACCATATCCCCATATCCCTATCTACAGCCCTGAACTATTCATCTTATGATTGGAGCAGACAATGCATGGGGTGTTCTAAGCCGCATAGAAACCCGTTACAACTGGCTCTCATTACAACATATGCCTATAGAACCTACAGCATGCATCATATCCTGCATTTATGTGCTCCCAAGTAAAATGTGTTCTCATTTGCTCTTACCGGCAACTCAACCAGCTAGTGATCTGAGCAGACAGCGTCCGTTTGTGCCATGTGATGGGCGCCGTAAACGACCCGACGTCACTTGCCTCCGAGCACGTCAGGCATGTCCGACTTCCACGTGACGGCGCGCCGCTCCTCCTTGCCAGCCGTGACCGTGGACCAGTTGAAGAGGCACTCTCAATTCAGCACCTCCACCCTCTGCCAAAACGCCTGCATTACCACCTGCCTAAGCTCATGCTGCTGTTAACTCAGCCAGCATGTAATATGAGCTGATAAAGTCTGTTTGAGTCGTGTGACCAGCACCGCATTAGACCCGGCGTCACTCGCCTCCTACACGTCAGGCAGGTCTGGCTTCCACATCACAGCACGCCGCTCCTCCTTGCCAGCCGTGACCGTGGACCAGTTGAAGAGGCACTCTTCATTCAGCACCTCCACTTCCGCCGAAGCGCCTTCACTACCGCATGCCTTAGCTCCTGCTGTTGTTAACTCAGCCAGCTGGTAATGCGAGCTAATAGAGTTTGTTTGTATCGTGTGACCAGCGCCGCACACGACCCGGCATCACTCGCCTCTTGCACGCAGGCAGGTCCGGCTTCCACATCACAGCATGCCGCTCCTCCTTGCCCGCCGTGGCAGTGTACCAGTTGAAGAGGCACTCCCCACCGCGGCTACTAATGCTGCACCATGTGTCCTCTATGTGCTGTGTGTCGCCTTGCCCCGGGTCCTGCCCTCCATGCGCGTCGGGGCCTGGTAGGGTAGGAGGGGGCGGGAGGGGGCCTACCACGTTCACAACTCAACATTCGTGGCAACTGGCGCATCTGATTTGGGCAATCTTGGCAACAGCATCTGCACAGATGCCCTTGGGAATTGCTCAATGCTCACGTGATGGCATGTGAGATAGACGGTTAGGTCAGAGGCCCACTGGTGATCCCTGATTGATCCTAGGGAAGGGTTAAAGGCTCGTTGTCCTGGGGGGTTATGGGCGCACTGACTCGCTTCTTAAAAAGGCCCTTTTATCCCAATGGTCTAGTGGTTGGGATTCTGACATGGTATTTGAGCGAAGGTCACGGGTTCGAATCCCAGTGTGTGCACTTCGGGCATCCCAGTGCGGGGGGGTGTCAGAGGTCCATTGGTGATCCCCGATTGATCCTAGGGAAGGGTTACAAGCTCGTTGTCCAGGGGGGTTATGGGCGCACTGACCCGCTACTTAAAAAAATCCCCTTTATCCCTTTAGACAGTGGTTGGGATTCTGACAGGTTATATATGCAACAGCTATTGCTGTTCGGTTTTAAAGAATACTACCAGTGGAACACCACGTTCGACGTGGTGACCACCATATTATCGGTGAGGTCGAGGAGATCCCAGCCCTTGCTCTCCTCCGACACACTAAGGTGAAGGCCCCACGTGGCCTTCGGCTTCAGCTTTCCACCGCGCTACAGCTCGGCGACCAAGAACTGCGTTATGCAGTTTCATGCACGGGCCAGCGTCAAGTCGGGCTTCTTGCCGGTCAGCAGCTGGTACAGATTCATCTCCGGCAACAGCGTCGACCTCTCCAGGCACTTGCGCACCCAGACGGCCTGATGCGGTGCGTGGTGCCACCAGTGGTGATGCACGCCCACGTGCAGCAGCATCGTCCGCGCCGACTCCACGACCGTCTGCATCTCCCGCTCCGCCATGCCGTTTTGTTGCGGTATGTAGGGGCAGGTCAAGGATGGATGATTCCCTTGCCGTCCACGAAGTCGGTGAACTCCTTCCCGAGGAACTCCCCTCCCAAGTCAGATTGCAACATCAGAACCGACTTCTTCGTCTGCCGCTCAGCCACCACCAGCTGCTTCTCGAACTCCCGCAGCACGTCGGACTTCTTGGCAACCGGTCTCACCTATACGTGGCGGGTCTTGCTGTCCTTCAGCACCAAGAAGTATAGGCTCCCGTCCTTAGCAGCCACCCAAAACGATCCGCACAGGTCGATGTGCACGACAGCTAGGGCGTCGTCGGGCTTTTGTCGGGGAAGGTGTGCCGCGCGAGCTTTCTGCCGACGCACGAGACACACAGAACGTCGGTGCCGGCCGACGGCTTGATGTCCAAGCCGGTGGCAACCTTATGCTTCGCCAAGCTCGTGATGGTGTCAACGCCGACGTGAGCAAGCCTCGCGTGCCACCTGGCCGGCGTCGACGTCGCTGTCGAGACGATCGCCCGAAGGGCCACCACCTCCGTCGTGGCCGGCATCGACTTCGCTGAGTAGGGACGAAGGTCGCTGAAGAGGACCCGGCTGTTGTACGCTGCTCGACCAAGAACGTCCCTCGCCGCCGAGACGAGGAGCATCCTGTTACCATTGTCCTGCAGCTTCATGCTACTCTCGTTCAACCGGCCGACGGATAGCAGGTTCGCATGCACGCCCGGGACGTAGAGCAAGTCAGGGATGAGCACCTCCTTCTCGGATTCTCCTTGCAGGGTGACCGTGCCTCTGCCTTGGAAGTCTTGCAGCGCCCCATTGAAGCTGCGCACGTGTCTGACGTCTCTACTCGGCTTGAAGTCAACGAAGGCCGCCTTGGTCCCCATCAGGTGGTGCGAGCAACCGCTGTCAAGCAGGACCACCGCCGGGTTTGCTTGCACAGCTGCTGCCACCGCCTGGAAGTCATCGCTGGCCTTTGGCGCCAGCAAGACGGTCGGCTCCACAACACCGCCCAGCGAGCACGACGCATCCTCATCACCTCGGCCCTTGCCGCCAGAGGAGGATTCGGCGTCCTTCGTCAACGTCGACTTGGTCGACTGCTTCTCCTTGTGCGGCTTGCTCTTCCGAGATGAGCGACGACAAGCCGACCTCCCTCGGCCTCACTTGCTGTCATCGTCGTCGGAGTCGGTTCAATCGTGGCTTTCGGAGGAGAGGTGGAGGGGTCGCCGCACAGCCAACACTCCCAACACCGACTTTCTCCTCCACGACCGCCATCCTTAGCCGACTTCGCCTTGTCAGTGTCCTTGGCCGGCTTTCCACCTCCGCTACCACCGCCCCAAGCTTGCCGCGTTTCATCGGGGCAACGTTGTTCGCCTGCGACAGGAGCTCCGTGGGCTTGAGGATATACGAGGTCAGCGAGTCCTTGTTGAGCGACTCCTGCGTGCCCGGCACCACCATCAGTCGTTTCATCAGGTTGTAGCTGCTCGGGAGCCCATTGATGATGTTCGTGATGTACGACGCTGTCGAGTACTCGATGGCGGTCACCTGCATGCAGGCAAAAAGACGCCAAGCTCGGTTGCAGTAGTCGGTCGCCGTCTCCTGCTCGCCCATCCGTGGGCGCGAAATCTGCTCCTCCAGCTGGTCGATGTACAGGTCGTCGGTGACCTGGTACGTTGACGTGACGAACTGCCATGCCCGGTGGCCAGCGTCCAGATGACGCCGGCACGACTTCAAGGCGATATGCACCACCGGTGAGCAGCACCGCAAGATGACCGTGAAGGTCAGCAGCTGCACGACGCGGAACTCCGCACGCAGCTCAGCGTTGCTCTCAGGCGGCGTCTCCACGGTGCCGTCAGCGAAGCACACCAGCCCAGTCATCTCCAGCTAGGAATCGATGGATTCCTTCCACGTGAGAAGATCGTGACGACCGACCAGCAGCGCCGTGTCGGGGATCTTGTCTGGCATGAACTTGAAGTACCCGTAGGTCGGT